TTTAATTACACCACAGACAGTGTGTATAAGCAGTCTTCCATAAACAGAGAGTCCTGCTCTGGCAAGCCAGCCCACACCAGTTTCCCTGGCGTGGCATCCATCAAGGCAGGCATATTTTTGGACTAATTTGACTTAAAGCATCAGGGCTGCTGCAGACGAAACTATCCAATTTGTGGGATTCAGATGCAGGCATCACTCTCTAAGTCCTCTGACATCTCTCCTCCTTCAAAACAATGGATAGAATCAAGGATGCTAGTCCATTCTTTCTCCTCTTGCTTTCAAAATATGCAGGTTTCTACTGAAATGCACACGTGTGTGCACATCCACAAACACACTAAACCCTTGCCCCTTCCCCAGGCTGAGTTCACATTTTCCTGTCTGCTCCCACTGGATCTTCTGCCCAGCCAACTACAATGTCAGAGGTTCCTACAACCTCCTCAGGTTTGGTCATTTGCTAGAACAATTCACAGAACCTAGGGAAACACTTTATTTATGTTACTGGTCTATTATAAAGGATACAATCTGGGAACCATCAAATGGAAGAGATGGTTAAAACAAAATCTGGGGAAGAGAGGGCACCAAGATTCCTCTCTGGGTCTGTCATCCTCTAGCACATAGACATGTTCACCATCCTGGAATATCCTCAAATTCTATGGTTTAGGAATTCCTGTGGAGGTTTCATTATGCAGGCATCATTGACGAAATCATTGGCCATTGGTGATTAATTCCATCTCCAATCTCTCTCTCCTCCTGCACCAATCCTAAAGCTATTTGCCACCCTACCCACCCCTCCCCATAAAAAAAAACCAATAAAATCAATGATTTTAGGAGGGCTAGGCCAATAGCCAAGAACAGAAGGCAAACATTTATTTTGTCTTATACCACAGGGTCCAGGTGCTCACATTTCATGGAGAGTTGGACACATTAACTCCCTCACAAAAGTATAGTCCCCATGAAGAGCACACATGCACACTCAAACACCCACACACTCCCGTATGCACACATATGTTCATATCTACATGTGTGCATATATACACGCATGCCTTTATGCATATGTATATGCTTCTACACAGGCATACACAAGTACACATATACACAGTTACACATTTACATGAACATACATGCACTAGTTAGGTGTCTGAATGTTATAAACATCCTTATAAAATATAAGGTGTAAATAGAACAATTCTTGGAATCTCTGTTGGTCCCCGTCTGCTATTAAGCATAGAGAAAGGGGGTGCATGGGGCATAAAGATGGTGACAGGAGATGTAGTAATTGTGGAAGTCACAATTAAAGTCGTGAAGTTCAGCTGTGGTAGGTGTCTCTATCAATGAATGAGTATTTACTGTGAAAGAGTTCTGGCAGTGAGTCAGAGGTTTCACTTGAGTCCAAACAGGGTTACTGTACAATACAAAAGGCCATGTTTCTTTTTACAAGTCCATATTCAAATCAATGTTTTAAAATTACTTCTCTCCAGGGCTGTGTAAGTTACTTCACTCATGGTGATCTGTCCGAGAACCACAACCTTGGTCCTCAACATTGCCCAGGGCTCCTGAGGTCTTTTTTCTATCAGGTACCCTTCCCTGCAGCCCACCCATCTGACCCTGATCTTGCCCAGAGTTCCCACCACAGGCTCCTCCACATGTGTCAGCTCATAACACATTGCCTGAGGGCACACTTGAAGAGCAGCCTCAGGAAATTTTTTTTAAATGGCACATTTACTCAAGGTAAGAGCTAAGACGGAGCTAAGAACAAGTACAGTGCAGATTCATTCTCACCTGGGGACTGCAAAAAGCATCCTGGGATGCAGGAAGCAAAGGCTGGGAGGGAGGAGAATGGGGAGAAAATAGGTGCATTTATAGGTGAAAGGGTTTGGCCTTCCCAGCTCCTCAGCTCCTGCAATCCACTTCTGCAATGCCCCAGTTCTGCTGGGGAAAGGTTCACTGGTGTTTAGAATCTTACAACTCAATGTCCTTTAATCACACTGCACCTGTTTGCCAGACTGCAGGCGCTAGTGTTGGGAAGTGAATGTATTTTCTTTTTTAAAAATACAAGTATGAAATATATTTGTTCAAATGACATTCAAATTTGGGGCCATGTGGTTTTCAAAAATATACAGATATAAATTATACTATTGTGATTTTATTCCCACATGCCTAGATTTAATTTGATAGCCTGCATACAGAGGTGGGGAAATTTTTAAAGTTATTTAGCACCTGACACTTTAGTTTTCTACAACTTTTATTATGAAAAAGTAATCCCCCCATATCCACTACCTAGATTGCTAACACTTTTTATATCAGCTTCATGTGTATATATTGTTTTTGCAGAATGATTTAAAAAACAAGTTTCAGACATTCATACACTTCACTCTTTAATAGTTTAGCATGAATAGCCTAAAACTACGGCTATTCTCCTAGGGAAGCATTGTGCTATTTTCACACCTAACAATGTTAACAATAATTCTATAATATCATTCAATACTCCACCTTATTGAAATGTCCTCCAAATGTCTTCTATGATGGTCAGTTGACCCGGGACTATCTCAGCCTGCATGCTTGTTGTTATAAATGTTTCATCGTTTTAGCTGTGTTTGTACTAAAACCATTCTCACCCTTTTTCTGATACTGATTTTTTTAGGAGAGCATGCCAGTTGGCTACAGCATGGCTGCTCTCAGGACTCATCTGATTGCTTTTCCCTGGTGTCATTTACCTTGTTGCCCTATCCCTTCACCACCCTGTAAACTGGAAGTGCAGACTCCACACTGGACTTCTGATTTAATTTAAGTGTTTTTAGCAAGAACACAGCATTGGTGCCATTGTATGCTAGATTCCACATCATCCTTGCTGTCAGGTTGGTCTAGCATGCATGATGCTAAGCTTGATCCCTGTAAGGTGCTGGACGCCAGGTGTCACCATTGAAAATGAGAAATGTTTTCCTTCACCAGTTAACACTGTACAGTTAGCCAGTTCTTCACACTTCCACCTCTGGGTGCATTAAATCACTTTTGTCTAATTCAATTATTTCCCCAAGTGGTACAGGAGGGGAACTTGCTAATTTTCCTGTTCTGTCTACACTTATGAGCTGGTATTCTTCTATAAAAAGCTTTTCCTGGTAACCACGGGTACAGAGTTGGAGACTTGTATTCACAGACTCTTGGGGAGAGGGCTGGTGTTCTTCCAAGAAGCAGTGGGAGAATATGCTCTCTAGGGGCTATGTGGGAGCGTGGAGGAGCCTGTCAGGATGAGCCTCTGAGTTTTAAAGCCAGGCATCAGGCAGTGAGTGGGGGTGGGACACTAGGTTAGTGAGAGGACTGGACTGTGTGTGGGGAGAGCAATTCCTAACACCAGGAATCTCTGAGGAAAAGGAGCCTTGCCAAAAGAGGAGTTGCAAGAATGCCACTATATGTCAAATCTTGTGTCTCCCTTGGACACCTACAGTAAGGAGCCCCATTATTTTTTTAGGGCTTCTTGAGTCTGCAGACACAGTTGCCCTGGTAACAGCAAGTGGCCCAAGAAGCACAGTCCTTCCTCTCCTTTTCTTGATTTGATGCTGTGGAAGTGGAAAATGGAGACACATTCGCTGGTACCTGCAATGTGGAACAGGAATGGCTTCCCAGAGCTTGTACCTGACACTCTGAGTTGGTTTGGAAGGCTGGAGGCTCAGGGGTCCGGCAGCAGCACAGGCAGGTTAGATTAAGGACAACAGGGACATATAGCAGCCATCTTCCACCCAGCCCCAAGGGCAGGCCAGAAGCTTTGCTCCCTCCCACCTCAAGCCCAATATTCCCAGGGTAACAGAGAAGGCCAGCAGAAGTGCCAGTGGCCTGAATTTTGTTGCCATTGTATGGCAGGTACCCATCAGGGCTCAAACCCACCCCAGGTAAGAATCTGCTCCCAGCTCTGTGGAAAGGTGGCTTTGGGCTCCTCCTCTGGAGGAAAGAGGTCACATGAGGGCCAGGTATCGGAGGGAGGCCTTTCCCGAAGATTCCCCACATTGTTCTGCCGCTCCAGTCTTGTCTGCTCAGGAATGTACAGACTTGCCTTGGATAACCGTCCTCCTGATTCCTTCTTCTGTTCTCCTTCCACCCGACAGGCTACCTTCCACCCACCGCCACCAGATACCCTAGGGTAGACTGCTGTGCTCACTCTCTCCAGGGCCTTCACTTTGCGTTTCCGATAAAAGATTTAGGTAGTCGTCTTCTTGGGGATTCTTCTTTAAGAAGTGCTTCTCACCGAGCATCTTATTTAATCACAAAAGAGACGTGGGGCGGAGGGGTCTCTAAAATCGCCCTCCGCAGGTTCTCCCGCTTTTCGGCTTTCGGGTCCAGGGTGGGGTCAGCCATCCGAGCACTTTGGCCGGAGGAGCTGGCCTAAGTGCCAGGGGCTCAGCAGGGGAGGCAAGCGGCCAGCCTTAGGCCAAGTCTTCTAGGCGCCACCCGACAAGCCAAAATCAGTTAGTTTCAAACGGAAACGATCTTCACCGCAATGACAGTAATGACTGTAATGGGAATAACCGGACCAAACTCCAGCTGTCAGTGCCCCGGGCCCAAGCCCAGCCCCGGACTCAGTTCTGACCTGTCCCGGATGAGTGTTCGGGTCCCTGGGTCGGCGCCTGGAGCTAGAGTGACGGGCTCGAAGTCTGGAGGTCACTCTTGGACCCCGAGGGTGGCGGCCGGTCCCCAGAGAACTGCGGAGGGAAGGAGGCGGGGAGGCGGGGCCAGAGGGGCCGGGAGGTGGTGGAGCCAGAAGGCGGGGAGCGGGACGATGGGGTATAGGGGCGACCGGGGGTGGGTTGGGGAGACAGAGGTCTGGCGCTGGGAAGTGGGGGATGGGGTGGGGAAATGCGGAGAGGGAGTGGAGACGCCCCACGGCTCAGGGAGAGGGAGGTGGGAGCCGGGAGGTGGGGGCTGTGGGCGGACGCGGAGCACGGGCCCCGCCCCCGCGACGCAGGGAAAGTTTGAGACCCGGCTCAGCAGACAGAGGCTGAGGGAGCGGGTCTCGGGGACACGCCGTAGGGACCTGGAGCTGGGCTGGTGGTGGGACGAGTTCAAGCGAGACCTCCAAGTCCGGGTACGACCCTCTGAGCCCCGAGACTATCCCAGTGTCCCAGCCCGGCTTGCATCTGAGCGGAGGAACCGGCTCCAGGATTCTCGTAGCCCAAGGGCTTTTCCCAGACCGAGGTGAGCCAGCGGGGCCTGGGTCGCGGACTCGGGGGTGGGTGGGAGCAGCTGGGCCCACTTTTGTCACTAAATTCCAGCCAATCCCGTGCGAGACTGTGACGTGGGCAGCGAGCCCAGCACTAGAGCATCTCCCCCTCCCCAAAGCCATCCATTGCGGTGACCGAGCCTCGGGAGGGGGAAGGGGCGCTTCCCTTTAAACTACTGTTGGAGCCTTTAAACTCAGCAGCTTCTCAGTAACCTGAATGAAAGAGAAATGGATCTTCTTAAAGTCCCATCCGTCGTTTAACTTGGACAATTAAAAAGTTAGACGACCTCCCAGAATGAGGACCTGAGGCCTCTTGGAATGTGTGGTTGTGGTCATTCTCCTGGTCAAATAATTTTTTAGAATTATATTTAGCACAAAATTCCACTTTTCTTCTTATTTCTCAAACAAGGAGATCGGGGCTGTCAGTCAGAATCGGAACTGGAAGGTAAAGTCCCGGCACAGTAATGAAGCTCCCACGGAAAGTCAGTAGCTGCATTCCTGAGATGCAGCCTGGGCGGAGGGGGCAGGGCTCGGGGGACCAGGGGGAGGTGCCCAGTGAGCTCTTCTCTGGCGACTGGGGCTTTGCCACTTTTCACCACCAGTCTCCAATGGTCGCGGTCTCCCTCTCTCTGTGTGTCTTTCCCTCGTTCTCTCTCTTTTCTGGCATTGGACACTCCCAATGACATATTTCTTTGTGGTATTTTTATATTTAGATGTAAGAGAGGTACTTCTTGTTAGAATTTTTTTTAGAATAACACAATTTGTTTTGAGGATAAAGGAAGAACAGCAGCAAGGCTCTTTTGGAAGATTATTTCAAAAATGGAAAGGCCACCCTACACATAGTATCTTTCCCAGCTGGAGCTCTGAGTGCTTCCAGAATCAGGAATTTATGGGCATTAGAGGTTGCAGATGTTATATCTAATCACGGGTTCAACTCTATCTCTTCAGCATCCTTTTCTTTACTGCTGAAAATCTTTCAGGAATGATGAAGAAAAATGTAATTCCTACCAAGTGCAAGGACAGGATTAGATTCTGGGGGTCTGTGACTAACAAGGATGGCCATGCTGGTGGCTGGTCTTGGTATAGGAGGCAGTGATGATGGTAGTAATAGTGGTGATGGTGGTAGTGGTGATAGGTGGTGGTGTGCATGTGTTTGTGGTGCTCAAGGAGTTGTGAAAGCACTAGGAGCTGTACAATTTCTCACTTAGTTGATGCAGAGCTTGATTCCAGTATGAATAATTTTTGCTGTCGTAAAGGAGCACACATTCAGTTTTCTCAGCTAATGTTTACACTGGGCCTGCTCATCCAGCTGTACTTGTCATCTGACCTGGAGATCTAAAATACAAAGTCAGCCCTTAAGAGCCTCCCCTAAGATACAGACCCAATGATTTCTTATCCAGTTTTCATCTTTGAAAATGCCACCTTCCTCTTAATATCTGTGAATTTCTTTAAGTGCATGACTCTTCCAAATTTATAGTGTGGGTAGTGGAAACACATTTTCCTGTGACAGGAGCCTTACTAATTGCTAGCAGTCTTATTTCTCAAAATGCAGGAACTGATTTCCCTTTCCCTGGAAATTATGACACACTTTAGATGTTATGTAATCTCTGCTGTCTCCTAAAGATGATTCAGTGTCTACAATGTGTGCATATATTTTTATTACAAGAAAATGGGAAGGGGAGAGGGAATGGAATTTGAGGGGAAAAAAGGGGAGGGATATGGAGGAACAAGTATGAAGGACACAGGGATGAGAACTAGGGGGGGTGGAGGTGGGAGGGAGGTGGGGAGCATGGGGAGGGTGGGCTGGGATGGGAGAAATAGAAAACTGTACTGAAAAATAAGTAAATAAAAATTTTTAAAAATAAAATAAAGAAAATCGGAATTTGAAGACTTCATAATCTTGAAAATTTTGGAGTTGCCATCATCTAGAAGTTTTGTCTGCTAGGATTTAAGGTTATAATTTGAATGCTGACACCACTGGTGAGGCACCTCAGGCAGTCTGCTGTGTGAGCCAGAACATAATATAGTGCTGTGGCCCACAGAAGCCCATTTCCTATTTGACTTCATAATTCTTTGATCAATTTTGGAGTTATTTCATGATTTTCCTTTGTCATATATTTTCTGTTGAAGTAATTAATTGCCTTAAGATATTTTCCATAAGCTTTTGGAGATAATATGACATACTGAGTGGAATCCTATATGTGTTAAAAATAACACATTAATTTCAATTATTGGTACAGCAACTGGACGTAAAGTCACTGCTTTTGTTTTGTTTTGGTATTATTTTATTTTGAGGACTTGAAGCTGTGTCTATAAGAGCACAGACAATAGGCCAGTCATGTTAAATCAGTGACAAGATTACTTGGTGGAGAATGTGACACCCGGTGGGTGGCTCTGGCATCCTATCAGCACTGTGAGCCAGAGTGGGAGTCATGGTCCACTGATAAGTCTGTTTGGCCTTGACAATGATACTCCATTCCCTTGGAAGCAAAGTTTTTCACATATTTCAGTAAATCCCCCATTCCAGGATTTTGCTATCATAGTAGTTAGAGGCAATTTGGCTTAAAAGGATGCTGGCGATGGATGCTCTTGTCACCATCAAGATGAAGAACCAGGGGGAAGATGGTCACCTCCAAAAAAGTATACAATTAATACGATCTACTGGGCACAGACATCTAGTCCATTTTGGTCTCTTTTAAGCTGTGCCACTAAGGAGAGTGACCCCCTACCAACTTCAGTTTCCTCCTGTGTAACATTCAGAAGGCAGATGGGGGACCAGATGTGGTCCCTGTAAGGTGCAATGTGTGGTGCACATGCCCTGTCACCAAGTGAGCACTGCTTTGGGAAAGGATGGGAGGGACTCCAATTTTAGGACTTTGTGGGCAAAACACTTCTTGATTGCATATGCCTTTAGTTGCCTTGAGGAGCTCAGTTCTGCACCTTCATTGGTCCTGTGACAATGTTGGTAGGAATTCAATCCTGTGCCCTTACTTACAGCAAGCAGGAAAGGGAAAGTTTGAAAAGTTTGGTTGAGATACAAAGAGGGTAAATCCTCTTGCATCAAAAGCAATTGCCTTCCTATGGACAAGCACAGGGAAATGAGCACTTGAACATGAAATCTTCACCTGGTTCATGTATAGCAGTGGTTTTCTCACCAGAAGCTCCGTTACGGGCCTAGAGCAAAGTGTAAGTGAGCAAGGCAATGTGTGTGTGTGAAGTTGCTTGCTGTGAACTATCTCTGAAAGCAGAGATAGATCACCTAAGAAATCCAGAGTGAGAAAAGTACTCACTAGAAAAGGAATTTCGCTGGGGCTGTGAAATGGCCAGGCCAATTCATTATTTCCCTTTGAAAGAAAAAAAAAATCTTACTTTCCAAGAAATTGGCAAATGTTTGGTATTTTAATTTACTTTGGGGGATGAACTAATTGATTTCCCTTGGAAAAGATGCCTTTTAAGTATATTGCATCATGCATTAGAACAGGAGAAATTTCTCACTATTTTATTGTGCTTTACTTTTTTTACCATGAGAAATCCCAGACTTTGTGGAAATATTTTCCTTTACTTTTTTCTTTTTATAGTTTGTTTATTTTTCAAATTGACATGTGTAGAGAAAGTGAATTGCTAGCATAGAAAGCACATCTGGAATTCATCGGCAGTCCAGGGCTCTCCCCTCCTCCCCTCTCTGAGGACATACCTCCTTGGAATAAAGGGAAGGAGAGCACCCAAGCTTGACAAGGTCTAACATTAGATGACACACCTTGGAACACCTTCTAGAAGCCATTTTATTCCTTATCTGTAAAAAGAAAAAGGATTGGCGTTGAAATGCCTGGAGGTAAACTGGAAGGTCTCAGCTTCTGAGGATGAAGTGAGAACCCTTAGGAACCATCTCAGCTGAATAGATCTAAGGGGAACTCAGGACTGGGTGGTGTACCTCCTTCAGGTGGGATGCAGGGGAGGGAGGGACCTGAAAGAGCCCAGGGTCTATGGATGGATGTAAGCCAGGCCTGCTCGAGAGCACAGACTGTCAGATTCTGGATTTGTTGAAAGGCCACTGCCAATGAGCCTCTGTATCTATTACAACATGCCCCAGCTTTGTACATCTGAGGATGTGCGAGACTAGGCAGCATACACTTCTTAGCATTGGGCTTCAAGTGTTGAGGTGGAATTTAGGCAGTGATCAAACTCACACAGTGTCATTGCCAGCCCCAGACTCTCATCTTAAAAAAAAACCAAAATGTGAGCATTTGTAATCTTGCCCTCTGGGAGGACTTTTCTTGCTCCACACAAACACTCATTTGCAGGACATAGACCAAGCCCAGTGAGCCTCTACAGGGACCCTCTGCATCAGAGTCCAGAGTAGGTACCAACACAATAGGCTCACAAATCAGTGGTGCCACAAACATACAGCCAGGTGCCTCCACAAGGACTTGGGCATCCAGAATATGGACAAACCTCCCTATATCCAAAAACAGTAAATGGTGCATCCATCCACTTAGCATCATACACATGACTGGCAGGAGCATCAGTTCCGGAGGAAGCTCCAGGCACAACTGTACGCTGTGGGACTCCTTTCCTGTGAAAGTCAGCAACAAGCTACACTAGGAATGAGAAGCCCAGATGATGGTCCCATTTGGGAGTGGGCAGTGACTAGAAGGACTAGAGGGTACCTGAGGGCCCAGGATCAGGGGTGTTGGGTTAGGGCCTATCTCTGTGGGGTGAGACAGCTGGCCTCCCACAAGATGCTTTTGACCAGGCACAGCAACATTCAGATTTATATAAAATCAGTCTGGCTTTTAGCCAGCACTTGATTCTCAGTGTGGGTCTACTTTCTAATGTTGATATCCAAAGAAAACATGCTTTTAAATTCCAAAGACCACTGTATATCTTCCAATTATCCCAAGTGTGGAAACTCACATTTAACAAAAAGTGTTCAGAAAAAAAATACTCCTTGATCAATCAATATTTAATTAAGAGA